TATGTTTGCAAAATTTCATCTTGGGAACCACACAAGCAGATTTTATTTTATTATTATAATTTCAGTTTTATCACGGCTGAACATGCTATCCAGTCTAGCTTTGATGGTATTTTTATAGATATATCTAGCCATATGTGATGGTAAAAGGCATTCTTCAAGTGTGCATGTGTTGTCTTTGATAAGGTTTTTCATTCCATCATTTCCAATTCAGATACGAGGCATAATTGACAGAATTCTTCCCTAATCCAAGCTTTGCTATATGCCACTTAAGTGACATTTTATGGAGATAGAAAACGGATACTGTGACTGTAACTGCTTCTCAGACGTTACAGAAGATTTAAAAAGATACACAAAACAAAAATGTAGTTATAGTGAATTTGGTTAAATGGAACAACCAGTGTATGTAGCAAACAAATAACTTGTCTCTAAGTTAAATTTATAAATTAATACAAAATTTATATTTCTTCTATAAATATCAAAAAATCGGGTTAGCTGAGAACATCATGGGAGAAAAGCTGATGTTTATTTCCTCCTGGAAAATACCTATCCAATCCCCACATGTACTGGGCATTACATTTTTATGAGTGTCTGTAATCATTTTAACAGTACTAGTATACCCTATTTATAAGGTCACAGAGTATATTGTGACTTTCTATAAAGACTAAAGTTATAGTCACTAATTTCGGTCAAACCCATTAATTATAAATACAAACATTTATTAAGAATACCTTCCGCCAGCCTCCCTTCTTCTGAGGTTGGTAGATGAAATCAGCTTGTCACAAACTGTATTTTACAGTTAAATTTTAATATTAAACCACAATATATGTATGTAGTTTATTCATTCGTTCAATTTTGTTGTTGTCTCCAGCTAAATGATCATGGCATGGTAACTAATTAACATAATATGTAATTGTATATTTGTTTTTTGTATTTAATGTCGGAAAATGTGTTATGTCTTTGACGGCATAGATATGAAGAACGAATGGCTAACCATATGACACCTCGTCTTAGTCTCCCCTACTCCACGACCCGAATCTTTCCCTACATTTAATATATTAATGATCTGTTTATGCCATTTCTATAGCATCATGGCCATGCTGGCCTGGAGAGAACACTGGACCATTGGTTTCAATGGAATGGGAAAGCCTAGTAGCAGACAATCAATGTAGACATTTC